CCCTTCTTCCCTTTTTCCCCACTGGCGGGGACATCGTTTATTGCAGAAACCAGGGTAGTTGTCCTGTACCCTGCTCCACTTCGAGCTCCATCCTCTCTGTGATGGCATTTAACTTATTCCTTCCCACTTACTTCCTGTAAGTGAAGTCGAAGTTAGCTGTAGAAGGTTGACCCAGTCCAGGTTCAGCTTTTGTTTTGCTTACCGAGAGACACATGGGTATGTTTGACAAGGTCACTTTGAGACCCTCCCTGCACCATCTCTCAGCCAGCTAGGAACAGAGGCAGAATCCTGACCACCGCAACACCTTCCCACTCAAACCAGCCGGGCCTTCAGGTTTGATAGAGCGTGTCTGTCTGTGGGAGTGGGCGGAGGGAGAGGGCCGATGCCCTGCTGCGGTCTCCCTGTCTTCCAGCCCGTCTCCTCCGGGGCAGTCTCACCCATGCCCAGCATGTTTCAGGCTGACCAGCCTAGGGGTGAAGCCGCAGTCGCACGTGGGATGCTGCTCCTTTCACGCAGCACCACGGAGACAGCCCAGGTTCCTCTTGGAAACTGAGTGTGGTCCTCCCGCATTTAGTGTTCAGCGCGTTCAAGGGAGCCAGCCGGATCCCTCACATGTCAAGTTCCTCGTTAAAACCTGATCTAACAGATTCCTCTGTTCAGGGTCATTGTCTAGTTATTTTGGGGTGAAGAATTACTGTTTTAATTCTATTTATTGTTTTTTTAATAATTTTTTTAACTTCTATTTATTTATTTATTTTGATTTGGCCAGAAAGGGACAGCATGAGAGCATAAGAAAGAGGGACCGTGAGAAAGCGAGCAGCAAGCAGCAGGCCCAGGGCTCCGACTGTGGTCAGCCGTGGGGGGTCCAGGGCCCGTTCCACCTGCCGTCCCCTGTGATGATGATTTCTTTAATTTGCTACAGGGCACGTGTGCTTTCCAGAGAGAGGAAGCCACCAGGTCCAGGACTTGAATCTTAGTTGGCCATGAGAGGCCAGCACCTCAGCTGGACTGCCTGCTGGCCCTAGTTTTGAATTTTCATTCTGTTCACATTTATTAACTGGTGTTCTATTCGGGACTTTTCTCATCTGTGACATAGGGACCATCATGCCTGCCTAATTAAATAAAAGATACGAAGAAGATGACTGCTCAGTCTCTGGCACTGCCGGCAGCCACACTGGAGTCTGGGACTGGGAGCCACGAGCCCCTCAGTTTGAGTCCCCAGCCTGGTGGGCCAGGAAGCATGCCAGGTGCATGTGCGTGTGCCCAGGAACCTGGTGGGCTGGAGGAAGGAGATGGCAGCCTGACCAGGCCCTGTGGAGCGTGCTGCTGTGTGTGCGCGTGTCTCTGTCTCATGCATGCACACACTCCATCGTGGAAAAGAAAGGAATAAGAAGGTAGCTCCTCTTGTAGGATTCTGCCAGGAAGATGGCTGGGACAGAGGAGGATGCGAGTAGCTGGAGTGCTGCTCTGCGTAGGCGAGGGGGCTGAGGCCCAGTCACAAGGGAAGGTGCTGCCTGGTGAGAGTGGCGAAGCCTGAGTGACGAGAGGACAGGGCAGGTGGCTGTGAGGCTTGTGCCTCTGCCCCTCCTTTCTTCTGTGTTCCCAGGGACGTAGCTGGGGCAGGGGAGACTCGAAGAGGAGGGTGACAGGCAGCACAACAAGTTCAGTAGGATTGCTGGGCGGATGAGGGTCTTCCTGAAACGTGCTTGTGAATTTAAAGCGAGGCGTTTCAAGTAGGATTGCTCAGTACTGATAAGAGCCGGACCGGCACTGAGATTTTGCCAAGAGATTGAGTTTGTTAGACCTCTAAACCACAGGTCAACAGGTGACGGGATGGCCAAGGCACTGGATTCCCACATGGTCTACTCAGACCCTGCAGCTTGAGGGACACGACAGGCGCATGTGTGTGCCTGCCCAAAGGGGTGACTTCTCACTGTCTCTGTCTCCTGCAAGCACATGTGCCCCATGGCAAAAACCTAAAAAAAACGAAGAAAGAAATCCCAGCAGGGGCTGTCTCCGTGGCGTAGTTTAGGGAGCCAGATCCCACACGGCAACGGTGCATTGGACTCCCAGCTTCAGTAGCTTGAAACACACCAGGCACATGTGCGCGCATCCCCGAAGTCCCCAGAGGGTGAAGACATGGGGTTCCCTGTTGTGAGGTGCTTTCTTCGGTTCCCTTGCTCTCTGGTGAGCACTTGTGCCCTCTAGCAGATTACAAGGACTCTAAGCCAGGTCAGAGGACCAGCGATTCCAGAGAGGGTTGCGGAGCCGGAACGGCTGGGCCTGTGGGTTGGAGATCAGTCCATAGTCCGCCATTCTAGTGGGCATGAGCTGCAAAGGTTGGTGGGGTGTGGATGGCCTGGGTTACCGATGAACATAGACGTAGGTCCAAGCCCCAGCCGTCCTGACCGCTCTGTCCAGAGCAGTACCCTCTGGCTAACTGGTGTGTGGCTAGTCCAAGTTTAGATGTGCTGGGAAAGTACCGCACGGCCGATGTTGACCTAAGAGAGGGCAGGTAAGACAGCTCGCTACTTCATTTGAGCTGACAGGTGGTGGGGTAGGTAAGGGCACTGGACCTCTCCCACGGCTGGTTACAGTTCGAGTCCTGGACCTGGTGGTGTGCTTTCTTACTTTCCCTTTGTGTCTGGTCAGTGGAAAAATAACAACAATAAATTTAATGCATAAATATTTTTTAAAATTATTTTTGTTTATTTTAATTTGACCAGAGAGGGACAGAGTGAAAGAGAGAGAGAAAGAAAGCCACCAGGTCCAGGACTTGAACTGCAGTTGGCCATGTGAGAGTCTAGCACCCTTAACCACCATGCCACCTGCAGGCCCCATAAGTAATAATTTAAAAGATAAACTAAATTACTTAATTTTATTTTTAATTTGCCAGAGGGCATGTGTGCTTGCCATCATGGATCACGCCTGGCATGCACAGGGACACTTCAGGAGTGGACCCAACATGACAGGACGCTGGCACTACAGCCCTGTGGCCACCTAGTCGTGTTAACTTATCTGCCGGATGGGGCGGGACGGAGTCATGGGAGCGGAGCGGGAGCAAAGGAGTTTGGGAGAGGTTACAGGCTGAGGCCAGAGATTCAGGGTTGGTGGTGCTGGCATGGCCGAGTTAGTGTTGGGACTGGAACCAGTGCCTGTCCCCTGGCAATGAGGGGCCGTTCCGGGGGGTGGCCAGAGTTGGGGTACTACAGGGTCTGACCTGCCTTGAGGGCTTGGTGTGTAGTCAGGGCTGGACAGAAGTCCTGGCACTGTCCCCGGCCTCACTGTGAGCAGTGGAGCACGTAGAGCTCGAGCACTTCGGGCTGCAGCCGCCCGCTGGGTGGGCCCCAGGAGACGCGCTCGGGACACTCACCTGGCTGCTGTCCCCAGCTGGAGGAGCACCGGAACGCGCAGAAGCAGATGAAGCTCCTGCAGAAGAAGCAGAGCCAGCTGGCGCAGGAGAAGGACCACCTGCGGGGCGAGCACAGCAAGGCCGTCCTGGCCCGCAGCAAGCTCGAGAGCCTGTGCCGAGAGCTACAGCGCCACAACCGCTCCCTCAAGGTAGGCTCCTCGGCAGCAGCAGTCGGCACCCCCTGCAGAGGTAGGTCAGGACCCAGCCTAGGTGGCAGAGTTCCTCATGTTCTGAACTGCAGTGCTGAGCACCACGCACCTGACCACAGGTTCAGATCCCCGGGTTGGCCTGGAACGGTCAGGACTACGTCCAGGCACCTGAGCCCCTGAGTGGCTGGAGAGCTGTGGCAGGGTGCTGAGGCCCCATCAAGGGTGCTTCTCGTAAGAAGTGAGGGCAGCAAATAGCATGGTGGTAAGATGCTGTACTTGCACATAGCTGTGTGCGGTTCGAATCCTGGACCTGGTGTCTTGAAAATCACAGCAGGCATGTATACATGCCTGCCCTAACTTCCAGGAGGGGGGTGGAGGAGGAGTGCAGCATGGCCACCTATTGGGCGGGGGTGGGGGGCGGGGGTGAGTTCTCACTTTCCCTCTCACTGTTTCTCTGGCGAGCTCTCACACACCCTATGCAAAAACCTTAAAAAAAAAAAAGTATGGGACCAACAGATTGTGTGATGGTTGCATCGCTGGATTCCCACATAGTTGAGTGTGGTTTGAATGTTGGACCCTGCAGCTTGAAACTCAAGCCAGGTACGTGTGTGCCCAAAATCTCGAGAGGAGAATGGAGAAGGGATTGTGGCGTGGCCATCCCCCTGGGGGATAGTTTCTTGCTTTCTGTCGCTCTTTCAAGCACATGAGCCATACAGCCAAAAAAAAGGGTGGGCACTGAAGCTTGTACTGTAAAAACATTTCCTCAGGCCAGCTCTGTGACGTATGGTTAAGGGAGCTGGATCCCACATGGCAGTTGATGTGGTTCAAATCCTGGCCCTGGTGACTTTTTTTTTTTTTCCCTTCTTTTTTTTTCTTTTTGCTATAGGGCACATGCACTTGCTGGACAGACAGAGACAGAAAGCGAGAAATCACCCCCCCAGGGGGGATGGCCACGCTGCAATCCCTTCTCCTCCATTCTCCTCTCAGGATCTTGGGCACACATGCACACGCGCCCGGCATGAGTTTAAGCCACCAGGTCTAAGACTCGAACCACGGTTGACTATGAGAGAGTCCAGCAACATAGCCATTATGCTTACTGTTAATCCCTTTTCTTCTTTTTTTTTTTTTTAAGAGGTTTTTGCTATAGGGCACGTGCACTCTCCAGAAAGAGAGACAGACAGACAGAAATCGAGAAATCACCCCCCCAGGGGGTGTGGCCACGCCGCAATCCCTTCTCCATTCTCCTCTTGGGATCTTGGGCACGCATGCACATGCACCCAGCATGAGTTTAAGCCACTGGGTCTGGGACTTGAACCATAGTCAACTACATGGGAGTCCAGTGACATAGCCATTATGCTAACTGGTCCCAAGGCGCTGTTGACTTGAAACGGGCTCTTCGTGCATGCTTACATAAACCCTGACAGGATGGAGAGGTGGAGAGGGAGTTGCAGTGTGACAGTGCCCCGTTGGGAAATGCTTTCCCCCTTTTCCTTGTCTCTCCCTCTCTGTCTCTGGCAGCACAAGAGTCCCTCGGTGGTGCCCCATGCCAGTACTCGGTGTGGCATCTGGTGAGCGCTTGCAGTAGACAGATAAAGGCCGAGGTGCTGAGCGCCCTGCACGCCCTGGCCTTGCTGTGACCGTTGGTGCTCTGGTGAGCTCTCGCCCAGAGCTGGGTCATCCAGGAGCCTGGGTCCTTCCCCTGTCCTGCGTCTCCTAGCAGGAGGTGGTTGCTGCCCTGGCCTCCAGCTGGTTTTGGATGCACACCCCAAGTTTATGTACTTAGAAAATTTGACCCTGTGAACATGAGGTATTTTGCACATTGTTTTTCTCAATTTTACTTAGCAAATGTTTGTCTTTAGGGACCAGCAGATGGCGTAATGGTTACGTCACTGGACTCCCACATAGTGGACTGCAGTTTGAGTCCCAGACCTGGTGGCATAAACTCACTCTGGGCACGTGTGCAGGCGTGTGGTGATCCCTCCTAGGGTGGGGGCGATTTCTCGCTTTCTGTCTCTCTCTGTCTTTCTGACGAGCGCACACTCCCTGGAGTAAAAAACTCTCCAAAAAAGAAAGGTTCATCTTCAAATAAAAAGACGGGGTTAGCAAGTGGCATGGTGGTTAGGTGCTGCGTCCCCCGTGGCTGACATAACTTGGGTCCCAGAGCCAGTGGCTCGAAGGCGAGACCAGGCACGTGCGCGTGCCCACAATCCCGAGAGGAGATGGGACTGTGATGTGGTCATCTCCCAGAGGGTGTTTTCTCGCTTGCTCGCTCTTGCCCTCCCTCTCTGCAGCAAGTGCACAGGGAGACGAGTGCGGTCACTGTGACGCCCTAGGACAACTGAAGTCCATAGAACAGAACTTACTGTGAACGGGTTAAAGGTGGCGAGTGCGGTCACTGTGACGCCCTAGGACAACTGAAGTCCATAGAACAGAACTTACTGTGAATGCGTTAAAGGTGGCGGATTGCCTTCTAACTTCTGTCTCCGTACTAAAGTCTTTCTTTCCCTTATTTATTGCTTTTGCTGTAGGGCTTACACTCACCTCAGAGAGACAGAGGGAAAGTGAGGAATCACCCTGAGGGAGGATGGCCTTGCCACAATCCCTTCTCCTGTCTCCTCTTGGGATTTCGGGCAGACACACGCACGCTGGACTCAACTCATGGTCAGCCACGTGGGATCCGACCACCTTAACCCCCATTCCTCCAGCTGGCCCCAAGTCTGTCTGTATTTTTTTCCTGAGAGAGATTTGTTAAAGGGCACGTGCACTTACCAGAGAGACAGAAAGCGAGAAATCACCCCCCTGCGGGGTGTTCACACCACAGTCCCTTCTCCATTCTCCTCTTGGGATCTCGAGCATGCATGCACATAAGCCCGCATGAGTTTAAATCATCAGGACTCGAACCGCATGGACTACATGGGAGTCCAACAGTGTAACCACTACGCCACCTGCTGGTCCCTCGCCTTACGTCTTTCTTAAATGAAGTTTTTACCCAAGTGCTGTTTCCTAGCCTGTTCCTTTCACTCGCATGATGCCCTGCTTTCCCCTGTAACTTTACGTAAGCCTCTCTGTTCTAAACAGTGCCGTGTGTCGACCCACTGTTACCAGCACCCTGATTACGCACTCGCGGCAGTCCCCAGTTCACGCCATCACACACCGTCCTGTCTTCCCCGACCTGCCTGCAGCCTGTCTGCATGAGTCCGGCGTGGGACAGCTGGCCCCAGTAGTGTGCGGGTTGTCCGTGTAAACCGACCTCCCAGGTGGCCTTCGGGTGAGGGCGGTGCATACAGTCATGTGTGTCCTGGCAGCCCCAGCGGGACTGGGTTCAACAGCTCGGTCCCTGGGGCAGCGAGAGGGATGAGAAGCTCGTGAAAATGAGAGTATTTAACCTGAAGCTCAAAGCATAGGCTTTAGAGATGCAGGTGGCCCCGAAGGCCCTCATGAGTACACCTCGTTTTGCTAGGAGAGGACTGTGCGGGTGTCGCCCGGCACACAGAGGTCCGCTGGGAGCGCCTGGGCACAACTTCTCGGAGTCTGCTACGCTTCCCTTTGGACTCAGGGAGGGCTGTTGGCAGAAAGCAGCCGTGGGCTCTCGGACAGGCCGTTGGTGACTGGCTGGGGACAGCAGGTGATGGCATTGGGCTGGCTTCTCTGCCAGGAAGAAGGCATGCAGCGGGCCCGGGAGGAGGAGGAGAAGCGCAAGGAGGTGACCTCGCACTTCCAGGTGACGCTGAGCGACATCCAGCTGCAGATGGAGCAGCACAACGAGCGGAACTCCAAGCTGCGCCAGGAGAACGTGGAGCTGGCCGAGAGGCTCAAGAAGCTGATCGAGCAGTACGAGCTACGGGAGGAGGTAGGGCCGCCAGAGCATGCCGGTGTGGGCCATTGTCTCACAGGCATTGTCTCACAGGCAGGGGACGGGGGTGGGGGAGGGGGTAGAAGACAGACCTCCAGCCACAGAACCCAGGGCCACGGGGCCTTGTTCAGACAACTGGTCCCGGTAGCTTAGGAGACAGCTGTCCAGGTTTGGAAAGGAGGTGCTTCCCCGCACCTGTGCTCCTTGACGCCCAGCAGGGCCTTGGGGCAGACACCGCAGTGGCCTCAGGGCAGCACAGGTCATGCTTGGCTGCCAGCTTAGCACAGCTCCACTTTGAAGACCTTTTTGGAATGTGGGAGTGATAGGGGGCTGGGCCTGCGGTCAGCTAGGGCTCCAGGGCCGCACCACTGGCCGCGCTGCTGCCACACAGCACTCCGGTATCGGGCCCGCACGCCCGTCGCTGCACCGTGCTCGGTCACTTCTCTCCCCACGGGGCACAGCCGCAGAGGCCCTGCCCGAGGCCCGGATGGGGCGCTGTGAAGGGCAGACCTTGCCTTCTTGGACTCTCAGGCCCGTGTGTGTGTGCAGGACCTGGAGGGGACTGCCCTGAGCAAGGCTCCGTGTGACACGTTGTTTGAGGCGCGTCGGTTTGCTCATGTCCTTCACTGAGACGTCACGCAGGAAGGGTTCCTGGGCCACTAGAGGGGCTCCTCCGGAAGGGGCTTCCTCCTCCCCCGCCTGGGTGCTACCCCTGGGGGTAGGGGATGGGACTCCCGGGCGCCACTGCTCAGTCGCAGCCCTCCCAACCTGCCCCTTGGCCTGGGTGCCTCAGATCACAGGCAGCTGGCGCCTGCCGTGTCCCAGCTCGACCTGTCTTGAAGGCGCCTTTCCTTCCCCATGCAGGACTAAAACTCGCACTGCCCCTACTGCCGTGAGTCTAGTCTGGTTTTCGCCGGAGTCACCTCTGAGCCCCTCGCCGCCATGCCCTCCCTGCTCTAGCACCTCCTGGGTCAGGAGTGGGGACCCGGGACGGTGCTCCCTAAGAGGCACGTGTCGGCTGGCCTGTGGGCAAGACCGGCCTCTGGCAGTGGGCAAGGCTGTTGTCTTCTAGAGGCCTGTTTGCCTTTTGTTGATATGTGCAAGGAAGTCCGGCTGTGCAAATGCAGGCCCAGCCCCATGGGGTGGTCGGTCCTGGATCAGAGTGGGAGGGTGGTCCTGCCTCAGCTTCCTGAGAGCTGGTTCCACCCGTCCACCTCTGCGCGTCCCAGGTCTGAGTACTGGGAGGTGAGGCTGGGAGGTGCAAGGCGGGCCTTCTGAGCCCGCGGGACCCTGGCTGGACTGGCGTGGGGCCTGGGCAGAGGGCCTATCTCTGCAGGGAGGCCTTGGGGGGGCTCCTGACCGGCGGGGGGGCCCGGATCGACAAAGTCTTCAAACACAAGGACCTGCAGCAGCAGCTGGTGGATGCCAAGCTCCAGCAGGCTCAGGAGATGCTGAAAGAGGCAGAGGAGCGGCACCAGCGGGAGAAGGATTTTGTGAGGCCCAGGCCCCGGGCAAGGGGTGGGGGGCAGGAGGCAATGGGTTCTGACTCAGTTCATGTTCGAGTTTGCTGCCTGTCCGACCAGGCATGCCTTCCTCAGATGCCATTCTGAGTGCGGGAGGCCCACACGGGCTGGTGCGTGTGGCTAACAAGGGCAGACCCAGCCCCGCTGGCCTCTGACAGGGCCGGGGTCTTGTCTTGGAAATAGCTCCTCAAGGAGGCTGTGGAGTCCCAGAGGATGTGCGAGCTGATGAAGCAGCAGGAGACCCACCTGAAGCAGCAGGTGAGACCATGTGTGGCCAGTGCTGGGCTCAGGGCCCTCATCCTGGGTGGGAAGGGGACCCTGCCCCAACCGCTGTGTGCCCTTGACAGAGCCTTGCACCTGAGTGGTGGTGAGCAGGGAGTTGGGATAAAGGCATTGTCTCCCCAGATTCTAATTCTACTTTTTTTGGGAGAGAGAGACTTTTGCTATGGGGCATGTGCGCTCACCAGAGAAAGCGAGAAATCACCCCCTAGGGGGATGGCCACGCCGCAGCCCCTTCTCCATTCTCCTCTCAGGATCCTGGGCCCCCACACGCCCAGCATGAGTCTTAAGCCACCAGGTCCAGGACTTGAACTGTGGTCGACTACATGGCAGTCCGGCAACGTAACCATGACCCCATCTGCTGGCCCCCCTAAACCCTACTTTCAGCGCTTAGCATTTTGCGTTGCATAGGTTCTGTTTCATCCGGAGGACAGTGGGTCTCTCTAGAATGGTCGGTTGTCGGGCCAAGGAGGGCTCTGAGTGCTGAGGGAGGTGCCTTCCAGAGAAGCGCAGTCTTACACGGGTGTCGTTCTGACCCAGCTCGCCCTGTACACAGAGAAGTTTGAGGAGTTCCAGAAAAAGCAGTGAGGTATTCACCACGTTCAAACAGGAGATGGAAAAGGTAATGACAAACCCAGTGCTGCTGCCAGGACCCAGGCTTTTCACCCCCGGGCTATGGGGGATCACAGCCCTTGCCCTAGCAAGGAAGGGGGTTGTCCTAAAGGGGTGGTACCTTGCCCCTTGGGGTCATTCGCACGTTGGAGGCAGTGCATGGCAGCCCAGTCGTGATCACTGCTGTCTGTCCCGCAACCAGATGACTAAGAAGATCAAGAAGCTGGAGAAGGAGACGACCATGTACCGGTCCCGGTGGGAGAGCAGCAACAAGGCCCTGCTCGAGATGGCCGAGGAGGTGGGCCCGGTGCCGTCCGCAGGGGGCAAGGCGGCCTTTTCCTGCTGTTCCTTATCCTTGAGGCCATGAGCCGGCAGTGGAGCTGGGGCTTCATGTGTGCCCATCCGTGCCCAAGGGCAGTGAAGGGAGCAGGCGGAAGAGAGGAGTGAGGGCGAGGACGGTCCCAGGCATGTGCGAGGTTTGCGTGCAGAGCAGCCCAGGTAACCTGTGGTCTTCCAGCTCGCAGTGCAGAGAGGGACGGCACCAGCCATTGGCGTGGGCGTTGGTGTCCTGGATTCCATATGGCTGGCTGCTGTTGAAGTCCCAGACCCCACGGCTTGAAAAACATACAAGGCGTGTGAGTGCATGCCTCAGATCTGGAGTGGGGAATGCAGGAGAAGGGATTGCGGCGTGGCCTTCTCCTGAGGGTGTTTTCTCACTTTCCCGCTCTGTCTCTCCAGTGAACATGCACTTTAGTGCCGTTTTTATTTTTGGGGGTGGTGGTGGTGGTTTGTTTGTTTGTTTGTTTGTTTTAAGGTCTTTGCCCATAGGATGTGTGTGTTTGCTGGAGAGAGATGGACTATGACAGAGAAAGTGAGAAATCATCCCTCCAGGGGGGATGGCCATACCACAGTTCATTCTCTTGGGATTTTGGGTGTACATGCACACGGGCCTGGCATGCGTTTCAAGCTACCAGGTCCAGGACACGAACTGTCATCAGTCATGTGGGAATCCAGCACCTTCACCACCACACAGCCTCCCTGCCTAGCTGCTGGTCTACCTAGTGCAGATTTAAAGGACAGGACTGGCCCTGACAGAGCAGGGGTGCAGACCAGACCGTGGCTTATTTTAGATGAGCTGGTTCGTGGAACCTTCTGGAGATGAGTCGTTAGCAGTCCTGTTTCACAGATGAGATCAGCTCAAGTCCAAGTACTTTGCCAAGGCCGTCCAGTGGATGACTGGAGGGACACATGGTCTGGTCCCCATGCGGGGCCCCCCTGCTGCCCTGGCAGCCACATCATGGCATAAACCGCAGCCATTACTAGAAGGGACCGGCTTCTGGCTCCGGTCTACTCCCACTCTAGTTAAAGTGAGCACTTCCCACCAACGGGTGGTGGTGGGTGGCGAGGTTGATGGGATGGCCCTGAAGGCCCCTTTTCTCTCCCTAGAAAACGCTCCGGGACAAAGAGCTGGAGGGCCTGCAGGTGAAGATCCAGAGGCTGGAGAAGCTGTGCCGAGCACTGCAGACGGAGCGCAACGACCTGAACAAGAGGGTGCAGGACCTGTGCGCTGGCAGCCAGAGCCCCCTCACTGTCACTGATAGCCTTGAGCGGAGGCCAGAGGCTGCCACTGCCTCCCAAGAGCAGGGTGCTGGAGGGCGCAGGGTTCCAGCCCGTAGCCCTCCGAGGGCCACAGAAGCTCCTTGCTGCCCAGGAACACCAAGCACAGAAGTACCAGGCCAAGCAGGGCCCCAGGAACCCACCCCTGCCAGCGCTTAGGGAGCCCATGTTTGGGGCATGCTGGGGAGGGGGCAGCAACCCGGCCAGGCCTGACCCTCCGCGGGCTCCCATGCTCAGCAGTCCAGCCGAGGCAGGCCATGTGACTCAGCTGGCATCGGACACTTGGCTGTTTTGGATTCCATGGGTCAGTCTTACATACGTGGGACACGCGTGCAAGGCCCCGTATGTTTGTATCTGAGTGCGGTGGGCTCATGGAGGTACAGCTGAAGCCAGCGCCCTCTCTGTGAGTGGAAGTCTCAAAGAAGACCTATCACCTGTAGCTCTGGCACAGTAAGCAGGCAGGGAGGGCACTGGGTCCTCCCTGCCTGCCTGGGGCCCAGGCCCCACCCAGACCTGCCCCACGGTCGCCACAGGCACTGGGAGCAGCCAAGGCTCGCCGGCTCCCTTGAAGGCTCTGCTGCTTTTGACCTAGAAAAGGTGGCCCCAGATAGAGCCTCGGCAGGGCACTTGGGGCTGGCAATCAGAAAGCTTCCCTGCCCGGACAGGAACCAGGACCTGGAGAGTGTGGCGGTGATGCACTGGTCAGGAGCCCGCGGCCCAGGCCCCCTGCCCTTTGGCAGTGCCAGGCCCAGGCCAGCGGTGCTTCCCAGGAGCCTTAGCATTCACAGGTGCCTCGAGCCTGCATAGACACTGACCTGGAATCACCCTGGCTTCTTCCTGAATGATCGCAGGCATTTTTGTTTTTGTTTTCTTTCTTACTTGGCAGTGTTTGTGTTGAGGATCTGAGGGAGGAAGAGGCGTGCTGTAACGGGGGCACGTGCTGGCCCTCTTCCACACTGGTGCCGAGGTTTCTGGTTTGGTGATGTTGGCTTGCAGTAAGAGGAAGGGCTCTGATGGCTCAGCCACACGCTTCCCCGTGGCTCCACTCCTGGGAGGCCACCAGGACTCCATGGCCCGGTGTCTGCACAGCAGCTGCTGGGCCCCAGGCCTGGTTGGGCTCTGGGCCCTGAGTCTGTTTCTACTCTGTCCCCAGCCCGTCCCTCTCCACCCCCTTAATGTACAGTCCCTTGGGATTTGTCCTAATTCCATTTCCTGGCCCCTGTTGGCCCGAGGAATAGGAATCCTCCTTGGGAGCCCCCCGCCGCTGTCTGTAGGTGAGTGATGAAGCAGGAGCCAAGCCCCGGGAACCCACAGTGGCCGCAATGGCCATGGTAAGGCCCCAGGACCCCCCATGCTGCATCCTGCATGCACCCTGGGACCAGCCACTGGTGGTTGCAGCTGTGCCAGCATAGTGCCCCGTCTTGGTCCAGCATGGCGTTTTGGGACAGGAGTGAGTCTTGGATCCCGAAGCAGGGCTCTGCAGGGCCCTAGGCACTGCAGCCAGATCTGTCCTGAGCTCAGCTTCCATGTAGTGTGGGAGAGGGGCCCCGGTGGGTAGGAAGTCCTGCCTCTTGCTGTGTTTCTTTGAAACTGGTTCACCATCCTGCAGGCCCCTTCACCTCTCCTCGCCAGCCCTTCACTCACACCCCACGCATAGGCTCATGAAGGTCAGATTCCGAAAAGCACGTAGCGATGGAGACCGCAGAGGCCTCCTGAATGGCGGGTCTCCATGATCGGCCTGCCCTGCCCTCCCCGGGCGCCTTTGCTCCGCAGCACTGCCGACCCTGGCTGCTGTCCTGTGGGGCTCTTCATGAGACCTTGTTCTTTCCTCGCAGATCCTTGGGTTTGGAATGGCCACTCCCACACCCTCTATGCCAGGCTGAGGGACAAGAGGTGTCAGCCCTTCGGAGGGTTCTTGGCCATGGGCACACAGGGAGGAGGCTAAGCTGGCTGGCTGCCTCTCCTAGAGGGGCAAGCCTCCATGGCCCATGTAGTCGCCTGCCCCACTTCAGCTACCTCTTACCGAGCCATGGCCGGTCTGGGCTGTGAGGCCCTGCTGTGGTGGGCACGGTGGCGGTGGGCTCACAGCCCCCACCGGGCTTCCCTGGGAGAATTATGTGGATCCGGGTGGGGAGCTCCAGCCAACTGTAGGTGGGGACCCGTCCCCTTCCTCTCCATTGACCAAATTTCCCAGTCACTGCGCTGCTTGCTCCGCTTTCCAAAGCCAGCCTGGTCCCGGGCTGGGGGCAGTGGAGGTGACCCACCCGCCATGCAGGCAGGCCTGTGCATGTGACCTCAGTTTCAGGACCAAGACCGCTGGCCTGCCTTCCAGGGACCACGGCTTTGCTCCCCAAAACCCCACACCCTGAGAGGTGTCGGCGGCACTTTGACTTGTTTCCCATGAGGTGTTGAACCGTGGGCTGAGCTGGGGCACCTACGTGAGAACGTTCCTGTAAGGACAGCCGGCCTGCCCCGCCCGGGCGCTGTGGAGCTGGCCTGGCGTGCAGCTCGGAGTGCTAGCCCCGGGGTCGGCCAGTGCCTGCCTTGGCGGGGCTGCCCTCTCCTGCACCTGCTGGACGGCCCGGCCTGGCCCGGCCCTGGTCACCCCACAGGCTCTTCCCAAGCTGGGCTTGCAGCTCTTGTCTCCGTTTGGTTGTCACAGCAGCCAGGGGCTGGCTTCTGGGGTCTTTTAAACCACATTAAATAAAGAGTCTGTTGCCTTAGTGGCCCCTCTGCTGCGTCCTTCGATGCAGGTCCTGTCCCTCTTCACTGGGCCTGCTGTGAGGTGGCCGTGGGCACACCTCAGCATCACCCGCTGCCAGCCGTCACTGGCACAGCTCTGGGACTCGCACACGCGTGCATCTGGAATGACTCAGACTAGTTAGGGCGAGGTCACAGGTCAGTGGTACCCTGGGCGAGGAGGCGCCCTGCCTGCCTCAGCG